CCCCCACTTTCCACACATACACACGCACATGTACCGTTCTTCCACTTTGAACACGGTGATATGATAGGACCTAATTATGTCATCTTGTGTTAGTGAGAAACGAAGCATGTCTTCTCTGAAGTGTGTTTATCTGTGTAGATCAACGCCCACTCTAACTCGGGCCTGGCACCCGAACTTACTGATTAGTGGTTCCTGTGACTGCCTCCACGTGGTGTTTGCATTGTAGATGCTGGGGCCAATTTTCCCCACTAGTTCTTGGAAAAACTGTGAAGAAACTCTGAGGAAGTTTCTGTCCATACAGGGGTTTTCTTATAAACCATGGTCTAACCCAACAGGTCCTCCTCCTCTTTCTCCTCTTCCCCTCATCTTGCATCAGCACAACAACCTCAAGGGCACCATAATATGTATACATGAAGCCTGTGTCGTATGAGACATGTTGAAGGAATGGGTACAAACATTTTACCCACCTCTTTATTTATTATAACCTTGCACGCCAACTTACTCGCCGACGGGTCCGCAAGATGGTCAGCGAGTTTGTTTGTTGTTGTTTTTTTTTTTTTTTTTGGGGGGGTGGGTTTTTTTTATAGTAGAGGGTTTTACGGCGCTCGCAACTGCATAAGGTCATATGAGCATCAAGGGGTGGGTGTCAACAGAGAAGTCTTTACAGGGAATCAGACTTACTCTGCTCACCTCTCTAGCTTCAACAGCACAAGGTCTGCTTCGACTATCAAGTGGGTTAGAATCACTTCGACAAACGGGTAACTAGCACTACTTCAACAAATAGGTGCACCCACTTCGGCAAACGGGTCAGGAAAGAGAGTTAAAGGTCGGTTTGAATTCGAATTAATGCTTCTATTGAGAATTATCCGGTTATCCGTATAGATTATCCGGATTTCGCCCACCTCTAATGCATGATAACGTGCTCGGTGCTCAGGCCACAGGAGCTCTAGATCTAGATCTACCGCTCTGGCTCACCACGGGAATGTTGTTTAAAAGGGGGTAACTCTATGGTTTGTGCTTGGAAAATGTGTAGTGACGGGGTGAAGGTAAGGTGCAGTTGTGCGTCTGTGTGTGTGTGTGTGTGTGTGTGTGTGTGTGTGTGTGTGTGTGTGTGTGTGTGTGCGCGTGTTTTGTGTGTGGATGTTTGTGTGTGGGTGT